ATACAACTCTATGATTCTATGACTCATACAGTTTTCTGTGGCCAGGCTGGGGTCAGGACTGTAAACAAGATTATGTAAAAATGCAGAATTTTTAGTGGAAATACTGGTTCCTAACTAAAATCCTGTTTTGACTTTGTTTGTAGTGCTGTGGTTACCTCTTGCAGAAATTGTTTTCAAAGAATTGAAGAAGTTCTTGCCATAGTTTTCTGCTTTCAGCATTGCCCAGTGGAAAATTACTCAATGGAAAAACCAAATCTGTAATTTTTTTTCCCCTGAATTAGTGGTTAAGTCTGCTATAGCCAAACTTTTACTTTTTAAAATACTACAGCCAATGAAGCCTTACTTTGATGCATTTATTGAACATCTGCTCATTTTATTCTGATTCATGCCACATGGTTATGTCTTAGCCTGTAAAGGTTGTTTTTCTGTTTAGCTTTAGCTATTATTTTTTTTTTAGCCTTTCAGCTTTAGCTTTTCTGTTTAGTTTTAGAGGAAAACTCTGTTCAGAGACCCAGATCTTTTTGTCTCCGTTTTCCTTCTTCTCTTAAGCAAAGTCTTCTTCTAGATCTGAGTGACCCAAGCCTAGCTGTAAAAGGATTTCTGTTTTGGATTGCTGAAAATGCATTGGAGGACATGGGTGTTTGTTCTATTTCATTGTCCTTAGTTAGAAGCAAATAGAACTCTATGGCTCTATTTTTTTAATCCCCAATTGATAATACTCCAAGGAGTGCTGCCATACCTGGATTAGGGTTAGTGCAGCCCTTAAATGTCCATGGAAAGAACATAACTCTTCCAAAAATGTGTTGTAATGAATAAGAAGCCAGAAACCCATCCTGAAAGCTACTGAAAGAGAGTTGAAATGTTAAGACCTACTTAAGGAGTGAGACGCTGGCACAGATTGCCCAGAGAAGTTGTGGACACCCCATTCCTGGAGGTGTTGAATTGGGCTCTGGGCATCCTGAGCTAACAGGTGGCAACCAGCCCACAGCAGAGAGATTAAAACTCAATGATCTTTAAGGTCTCTTCCAATGTAAGTCTTTCTACGATTCCGTGATTAAGCATACAAAGAGCATTACCAAGAACTGTGGTTTAAGTTCTTACCTTAAATGTCAGCTAACAAAATAAAAATGATCCAAATATTCATTTCTACCTTAGGTTTTCTGCCATTAAGATTCTGCTGTGAGACTCCTACATCTCCAGAAAAAGGGGATTTTATTTAGGAAAACAGAGAGCCAAGCACCAGTTCTGCTGTCATGGTGAAGCTCCTTGTCATGTTGGGACTGGCACTCAATCCTATGGGTCGTGGTCACCCCATTGCTGGATGCTTCCCAGTGCCTGCAACCAGGAGAAATGCAAACATAACTTAGGGATAGCAAGAACAGAGGAGAGGAAAAAGACCTCATTCTGATCTTCCACCATTTTTATCTGCAGCAATATTTGTCTCATCCCAGCCCAGGGTCTCTTTGACTCACGTCGGGTTCCATGCTAGCACAGGGAAGTGCTATCCACAGGAAGTGCTGCTGACATTTTGCCTCTGAGGGCTAGAAACTCTCTGCCAGAAGCTTTTAAATGTGCTCTTTTCAGACAGTTTCACAGCTGGATGTGCTGTGTAAAGGGTCTGCTTCACCTTGGTGCTGTCTTGCCTTGTTTTGAAGGGTGGCAAAGGAAATGTAGGTGAGATTTCTGTCGCTGGAGATTAGGTAATCCTTCAGACTGTGCCAGATGAAGTGAAATATATCTGAAATGGCTAATTTCCTGGGGAAAACTATTTTATCTTTCAGTCTTTTTGTCCTGGAGCTTTACGTGGTTGTCTGCATGTTCAAACATTTAATGCAAAAAGACAATTTATGGAACAGTACAAACAAAAAAGAAAGGAGAGGAGAAAAATAAAGAAAAATAATACTAAAAAAAATAAAGTGAGATAAGATAGCGTAGACAGTGTGGGTTTAGTTGAAGGTCTAGATCTGCCCTAAGTCTTCTTTTCTGTAGAGTGCTGTTAATGTGATCAAGACAGTCATTTAGTAGGTTGCTATTAACATCTTTAAGGACCACTGCAGTACCCAGTTGCAGAGGAGGCAACCTGTGCCTTGAGAGAGGAGGAAGAAAAAGAAAATGCTGGACCATGTGGTACAAGAAGTAGAAACAGACACAGTGGTAGACTGCTTGTGATGGATGCAGTGGAAGGGCTGGGAATGTTCTGCTAGAGGGATTGCAGCGTTCCTCTCTGAACTAAAAGATGCAGCAGTGCAGAGTGGGTAATGGACAGGTCTTTTTTATCTATTGAAAAATATTCTAGCTGTTTACCCACACCGTACAACAAGAACCACAGGCTGCATGTCTCCAGAGGTCTTGTGAGCATGTTTTTGTGGTTAGAGCACTCAGGTCTGAAATTCCAGGCACTTGTCTTACTCTGTCATTGATTCATGTTGTGTTCTCATGCCATTTTGCCTTCTAATTTCTTTGCCCACAGAAAGAGAACACTTTCCTAATTAATTCTGGGTAAGATATATTTTTTCCCCTCAAGTCAGTGCTACTCTTACTATAGTAAGTTGTTAAAAGAAATAAGGTGTGCAAACTGGTCTCTGGCCTTTTCCACCAGAGGGGAACTTGTGGGGCTGAATAAAAGTCAACAGGCTTCTTTGCTGGCATCTGTGATTATTTTGAAAAACATGTTCAATAATGCCTTAATCAACTCCATTTTTTCCCCCATAGGTATCAAATACAAGATCTGTATAACCTATATAGATCATAACCCAGGCTGCCTACAGTAAGTAGGTGTAAAAGTATGACCAGTGATGACTATCATGATTTCACAGATTTATTTGTCCTTACAGTGTAGCTATGTGGAAATCTAAAACAGCAGCAGTATGACATCCCAACATTAAAAAAGTCTGCTTAAAGAAAGCCAGGAAGTCACCTACTATGTGCAGAAGTGGATGCAGCCAAATACATCACATCGGTGATGGAGGGTAACAAAGACAGACATCATTAAAAGCTTCAGTAAGGGAGAGCTATAAAAAGGCAATTTAAATCCAGGCTGGTTAAAGACTGAACAGCAGTATCCAGAATTTGAATATCCATTTCTTTATATTGCGCGTGGGTGGAAATGGTTATTGCAAATGAGGGGATGAAGGAGCAAGGACATGGTACAGTGGGCTGGCTCAAAAAGATGGATGCCCCAGGAAGGGTTACAATAACAAGATGACTAGTCTTTGACCCTACATCTGAAATGCTTATTGCACTCATAAATAACAGTACCGAAAGAGATCTACCGGAAATGATCCTTGGGGGCATAAGAGCCTTAGACTTGATATATGCCTTCAAACCTACTGACCCTACAGGGCAAGTTACCTGGTGAGAGGTTGTTGTTAAGGGTCTTCATCCCACTCTGGGGAAAAGATGAATGCAGAGCTGGATAACAGTAACCTTTTTTATTACATCTGCCCAGGTGCTCTCAGAAGTATGGCTGGGCACAGGGGAGCATCACTTCTGTGCCTCTGCTCCCATCTGAGAAGTGAGAATAGCAGGCATTTCTGCTGTGTAGGAGGGCTGTCAGTATAAATATATTAAACTCTACAATGTCTTGAGATAATAATATCAGTTTCGGTATGCAAGTGCCTCCAACAAATCTTGTGTGCAAGTGCCAAGTGGCTGAAAACACAACTTTTGGCACAGTGAAACTGCTTAAAGGAAGTTTAGTTTGATTTCAAAGGGTTTCTTGGGATAATCATTCTGAGAAAAAAAAAAAAAAAAATGGAAACAATGTTACAAAAAAGCCATTAAAGAAGAAAAGCAAAGTACTCAGATGATTTCTCCTGGTCTTGCTTCCAGATTTGAGAAGCACACACCAGTTCATCTGCTGAACTTTGTTGGTCTGGCAGTGGTACGACTGTTCATTATCCTGCAGCACAAATCACTGCTGGAAGGGCTTCTTGAGGACATAGTCCTTTGTAATCATAGAATCACAGAATAGTTGGGGTTGGATAGGACCTTAAAAATCATCTGGTTCCAGATGGATAAGGAGACCTTCCACTAGACTATGTTGCCCAGGGCCCCAGTCGATCTGACCTACAATACCTACAGGGATGGGGCATCCACAGGGATGGGGCATCCACTCTGGGCGGCCTGTGCCAGTGCCTCACCACTCACTAAGTGATGAATTTCTTTGTTGTAACTAATCTAAATCTGCTCTCCTTTAATTCAGAGCCAGTACCCTTTGTCCTATCAGGGTGCACCTTATTAAAGAGTATCTTCTCATCTTTTTTGTAATCCCCCTTTAAGTATTTGAGAGCTTTAAATATTTAAGAACTTTCTGGCTCTGACACAACTCAAATTTCAGCCTGTCTGTCACACCACTGCCATGAACGTAGTTTTAGAAGCATCTTACAGCCCTTATGCAGCCAGACTCGTTTGTGCTGATGGGGTCTTTCCCAACTGCAGGACAAGGGAAGCAGAAAAAGGGAAAGGGAAACTATTATCAGCACCAGAATTGACCCTCAGTCACACATGCACCATGTCACATGGCTATTAGTGCAAAATTTCTTTCTTGCTGTTTGCTGTTGACATCCTCTTGGCAGTAAATTATTTTCATGCCTCCGGGCCCAGGCCCTGTTGAATTGCTATTTGCAAAGCAAAGGAAATGTGTACTGTTTTTTTCTTCTGTTTAGACTTTGAATGTATAAAATAGTTTCTTTTCAATCTGAAAAGTGCCCTTTAGAATGTGAATATTAACATTGCTTTTGGAAAACATATTTTATTTCTAAGTAGTTACTTCTCATGTAATGGCCTATTTTAAAGAATGCAGCATTATTTATGTTTCTCAGAGAAATTCATAAAGTAAAAGGTGTTCTACTTTCCTTCATCTTGAATCCTCAATTGGTAGATAGCATCACACTGAGGTGCAGTTCTTTCTTGCTCAATAAACCTGTGAAGAAAAAATCCCAAAGCCATCCCCTTGCAAAATGCACTGGGCCAGACAGATGGAAAGCAGATGCAGTTGCTTGTAACATTTTACTTTTCACGATGTATTTAGAGTTTATTTTGAAAATTCAAATAGTTAATGGGTAATCAAAGTTTTAATAGACTCAAAGAATCAGCAGCTAAACTAGGCATAGTGAGACTTGTCCAAAGTTCTTTTGTTGGGTATTTTGTTTACCAGTGCATTTGCATTCTGACTGTGTGATGGATCTGCTTGTTCTTTATGTCCCTCTGATATATATGACACAAGATTTATATGGTTCAAGATTTCCCTCATAAGCCCCATGTCTTCATTATTCGTCCAGGCATCTGGGAGGTCTTTGCCTTGGCTCCTGCAGAGAGGCAGTGCCATGAGGGCATTCCAATTCGCCTTCTGTAGATTAATTATCTGAAGGGCTGTTCTTGAAAGGTTGGACTCTTGCATTTGATTCACTCTCTGCAGTGAGCTGAAAATAGTTTATATCTTTCACATAATCCTTAGCAACTTGAAAGCTGCCTTAAATCGAATTCTTCTTTGTCTTTATCTAAAGAAAAGAAAAGAAAAAGAAAAAAAAAAAGCTTAATTCATTTATTCCTGCAGTTGCTAATATTAATTAACTGGGATTTTGATGGCTTTGTTTTCTTCAGCAGTTTTCTAAACATTTCACTTATCATTTCAATGAGTCCTTTACAAGTCTAAGCCATAGTGAATAGCCGTGTTTCTACAGTGCATATTATTAAGTCAAAACAATGCATGTAGAAGTGTATGTCCAAGAAGAAAGACTCACTGCCACAGTCTCATTAATCATAGATTCAAAGAATCATACATTGTCAAGATTCATAATACCCTGGGTATGATTTTGGCAAGGAAGCTGTTTATAGCCATGTCACAGGGTAAAAATAAATGAAAGCCATGTTGAGAATCGTAGAATCGTGAAATCATTAAGGTTGGGAAAGACCACTAGGATCATCTAGCCCAACCTTCAGCCCATTCCACTGTGCCCACTAACCACGTCCCTCAGTGTTACATCTGCATGTTTCTTGAACACCTCCAGGGACAGTGACTCCACCACCTCCCTGGGCAAGTCTTGGTGTAACTGCAAGTCAAATGTGCTGGTGTAGTTGCAGGATAGATACAGGACAGATACTACAGACCCATCAAATCTAATAACTGTGGCTGAAATTGATATGGAGGACTGTGAATTCCAACTTTGGGTATTTTGAGGACTATTTTTAGCTGCATTTGCTTTGTTTCACTTTAAATCTGCTCCTTCTCAAATGAGTTACAATTGGGAGAATTATGTAGCTGTTGTCAGAAAGATAGGTGAAAAACCTTGGTAGGTAAATTCAGTCTGATAGTAATTGCTGTGGTAGGAATATCTCTCAAGAGAGCAACACAAGTGGTCACACACACAGTGTGATGTAGACGAGGGACCCTGTAAGTGCAAGATGTAAGATTTTGCCCTCAAAAATCAGGGAATGGTTGTTTTGTAAGGCTGTTTTGTGACCATGATGATCCAGAACTTTCTACCTCTTTCAAGAAGTGTTGCAATTGTATTTTGAAACTCTGTAGATTCAGTGATTTCTGGCCTGATCTGTCTCCTGAGTTCAGTTGCATTGAGCAAGGGCTTGCCCCTCCTATCAAAACAGCATTAAGCCATGGACTGATGAAAATTAACAACCATCAAATCAGCTGGGAGCATTAGATAATCTTATTCAATAAGGAATGTCCTCTTGCTTTTACTGTACAAAACAGATGCCTCAAAGGGATTTTCAAGGGCTGTATGGAGGAGTTTGAAGCAAGGCAGAAGAGAAACAGTACTAGTGGGATGCAAATGGGAGCAACACAGATCTGCTTTTCACCCCCCAGCTTTGTAGCTATCAGCTATCTTCCCTGGGTCTTCCTCAGTTCTGTTCCTGAACCTCATGGAGTGCAGAAATGAAGTGCGCCCATGCTCACATCCAGGGGTACAACAAGCTGCTGCTGTTGTCAACCAGAATTCTGCTAACTTTGATAGGACCCCTTCAATTGGTAACAGATTAAATTTAACCTCTGAGCAGAGCAGCAAGAATTTGAAGCAATTTTAGCATTGCATGGCACAGTAAAATGCTTGTGATAAGCTAAGGGATTACAAAAATTTGGCAAACAGGATTCTCAGATTTCATATCTAGATAAAATCTATATAAGCAGCAATCAACCTGATACATACAGTAAAGAATTCTGCATGGTCATTCAGGCTGAATTGGTTTGCTAAATAAAGAGGGTAAGGGACTCATTTTGGCCCTTGGGCCCAGAGGTAAGGACCAGCTTGCACCTGCTCAGCTTATGGCCAGTCTGCTTTGCACCTCAGCTACAAGGATGTCACAGAGCATTGGCCCCTGGCTCCCTATAGTTATCAGACTGTGCTGCGATGGCCCTCACATTTGGTCATTACACCATTTGGCTTTTTTCAGTTCAGTGTCTCAAAGGATAGGAAGAACTGTGGTTTAGTCCTCCATGATGGTGCTTTGATAGAGTGACATGGAAGATGTGAGTTGGACCAGTTTGGTTCCCTTCCAGCTTGGGAAGCTGGAAGGTGCTGGAGAGAGCTTTTGCTGCAGTGATCCAGAAGGGCGATAAGAGGGGATCCATGGACTTCAGGCATTCAGTGTTTCATAAAACCATAGAATCATAGAACAGCTTGGTTGGAAAGGACATTAAAGCCCATCCAGTTCCAAGCCCCTGACATGGGCTTGTGGCCACCCAGCAGGTCAGGCTGCCCAGGGCCCCATCTAATTGAGCCTTGAAAGGCTCCAGGGATGGGGCATCTACAGCTTCTCTGGGAAAATTCTGTGTTTCCCTTCCCAACCAATGTCAGGAGTGGGGTGTTGAGGCTTGTCTTGTTGTCTCCCATCCCAGACACAGGCCTACTTGCTACCCTAGCACAGTAGAGGCCATAGCTGATCCCAAGTTAAGTGTAGCAGCTGGTGGGTAGGAGTCAGTGCTAAGGCAGCATCGTGTGCTTCCCTGGTGGTGTGAAGAGCTGCTTGGCACCGAGGGAGGAGAGGAGGGTGTATGTTGGGAGGAAGCTGTCACGGATCTGCCTCTCATTGCTGCTCACAGTCCTACACTGGCTGAGTCAGAGCTGGCGGGAAAGGCAAGACATGAGGTCTCTGGGGAAAGTCCACGCTCACATCAAAAAAAGGGTTTAATGGAGGAGAAAACCAGCAGGACGTTCCCTGCAATCTAAGAACCAAAAAGCCGAAGGACTGCCCGATGTTATAGGGTGGACAGGTATGAGGAGAACTATCCAGAGCCTTCCTTTGCAATCTGTATTCCCTGTGCATAGTTAACTATGCACACTGGTTGCATATTAAAAGACCATCCTTCTATGGGGACTGTGTCTTTTGCACCACTGGTCCCATATTACTGTGGTAGAGAATAATGGCTCCCATTCTGGAAGGCTCCTCAGGAGCAGGAGATAGTTGGTCTTGTGTAATGAATTCTGATTTTCAAGGTGAGCAGGCTTTGTGTGCACCCTTTGTGTTGGTTGCCACTAGTGGGTGGCAATCACCATCACGTGGGCTTTGATGGGCAGGTGTTGCTGGACTGTCTCAAACCTCTGGAAATCAAGAATTTGTCAACATCTGTGGTGTTCCAGTACTTGAAGGGAGCTCACAAGCAGGAGAGGAATCAATGGTTTACACAGTCTGTTAATGTTAGTTAATAGGATAAGGACAAATGGCTTTAAACTAAAAGAGGGGAGACTTAGGTTTGATGTTAGGAAAAAAAATGTTTACTCAGAGGATGGTGAGATGCTGATACAGGCTGCCCAGAGAAGCTGTGGATGTCTTATCCTTGGAAGTGCTCAAGGCCAGGTTGGATGGGCCCTGGGCAGCCTGATCTGATGGGTGGAAACCCTGACTATAGCAGAAGGTTGGAGTTCAATGATTTTTAAGATCCCTTCCAGCCTAAACTGAGTCTATGAAAAGTGCAGAGTAGTGAGATATTCACCACAGCATCCAGTGAGTTTCCCGTCCTCCTTTCTCGTGTGCTCTCACATCCTAGACTCAACAGCATTTACGTTGCCATACCAGCACACACAAATAACGTTCTGATCAAAAGCACTTTTGCTAAGTTCTCCTGGAGCTGCTTAAAATGTTTTATATTGTTCTTAGTTCAGATATGCAGAGCTAAGCATGATGAGCTTTGAAATCAAGCTTATGTTGAGCAATAATCCAGAGAAGAATTAGCAAGGACTTCAAAGTCAAATTAGCCCAGATAACATGTCAAGCTATTGAATTTCACTTTAACAGCATGCCAAAATATCTCAAGATATCTCTTATGAGGTATTTCATTGCTACTTACAATTTCAGTAGTAGGAAAGTGAATAAAAATAAGACTGCCTCATACTGGTATTTTTTGATTCAGTCTGAAAAATTCAAGATGTTTGAAAAGGTGTTTATAATTGTACATTTAGACTTCTACAGGCATTTATTTTACTGTGCAGTTTGAAAGCGATTCAGTTAAGCAATTAAAGGCTAAAGGAAATTGTCACACACAAAAGACGATATTTGCATATGTTACTTACAGCATCCATTTCAAGCTGATTTCCAAGAGTGAAACAGAAGTTGTTCTGTTCCTTCCCCACATCTTTCCTAATAATTTTTGAAATATTCACCAATTTGATGCGTATTTGATGGAGGAGTAGAGTTCTTGTGTATAAATAGATCCCATTGAGTCTTGTGAAGATATCTTCCTGGTAAAGAGCCTGTAAGTGCCTCCAAAAGAAGGAAATGCATATTCTTGTGAGTTTTGAAAGTAATAGTACGTGCCCCATAAACAGCTCAGCATTTCCCTGTGGCTGAAGCAGAGAGGTGTTTCCTTTTCTAAGTATAGAGTGGTTATTTTGAGGGCTTGACAGGGGAATGTGGAGTTTCGTGCATCACCCACGATGTTTGAAAAAGCATTAGGATATTGAGACTATCTATGACAAGAAGTACAGAAATGATTTAAGAGGCTGGCAGAAATGCCAGGGAAGAGTTTAAAAGAGCTTGAGACTTTAGTTTGACCAAGCGATGATTAATGAGGGATATGTAAAGCATGGTATCTGATGAGAACAGACTGATAGAAGAGAGTAATCGGCTGCAGTTGGGAACATGGGGCAGACCATTTCAGATTACTCTTTCTGGCTGCAGGTTTTAAAGATCAGTTCTGGAGATCTGCTAAGTTGCTTCAGCAAGTACAGCTCTTCTTAAACCTCCCTTTTTTTGGAGAAGGACATCAGGAGGCAGCCAGTATTGGATAAACTATGGTCTGAAAGGACATTTGGGTTCATCACTTATGTGTGCATGTGGAATATTGCTCAAAACCATTGAAGCCACTGTGAGCAAAATTTCCATATGCTGCACCCGCTGAGTTATGAATCAGGCTCTTGCTAAAGTGGGGAGAAAGATGGATCCATTTTTTTTCAGGAAAAAGCAAACACCGTCTGCAGAAACTTATGTTCAGCAAGAGATTCCAAAGAAAACCTTGGAGTTCATCTTTTCTGTGACATTCAATTATGGTAATTTTAACATATTCCTTTGGATTCTAAAAGAGAGTGGCATGTGGTCCATGAACAGCTCCATGTTTCTGTAGAAAAGAGAGGTTGTGTGACGTTGGTATGAGTGGTGGAGTTTCCACATATCCTTGGAAGGAGGAGGAAGAGATCCTCACATGATTTATGCTGTAGCACTGGTGATTCCAACAGTGACTCACAGAAGAAGAGAAGAATTTCAGAAGGGTCTCTTTTGGTACAAGACCCTAAGGAAGAGACACTTGCCTCAGGAACATACGACCTGAGGTTTCTGTGGTGTTTCTCACTTTGGGATATACGTCTCAGAGAAGGTAGTAATGCAGTGAATACAAGGGAAGAATAAAAGACAAGGAAATTTTTCTGATGAGTGCCAGGAAACTATTTATTAACATTTTAAAGCCATTAGAGGTAATGGCTTTAAGTTGCACCAGGGAGGTTCAGGTTGGATATTAGGAAACATTTCTTCTCAGAAGGAGTGGTGAGTTGTTGGCACAGGCTGCCCAGGGAGGTGGTGGAATCACTGTCCCTGGAGGAGTTCAAGAGCTGTGGAGATGTGGCACTGAGGGCTGTGGTAAGTGGGCATGTGGGCATGGTGGGGATGGGTTGATGGTTGGACTGGATGATCTTAGTGGGCCTTCCCACTAATGATTCTGTAGTTTTATGGAACACTTTCCTAATAGTTGAAGTTACCCTCTGAATAAAGTGTGAACTGATCTGTCACTCAGAGCTGAACACAAGGAGAAGTTGGGAGCAATCCTGCTAATTCAGAGGAATCAGTCAAAAGATAGATGAACAAAATGATTCAGAAATCCATACTTCGGTCTTCTGCAGTTTGAAATTGCTTCTAGTGCCAAGAAAATCAGAACAGAAACTGGCAGTACTGCAGAAGCATTGGGTATGGTCACGCTTGATCAGTGAAGGGCCTTTCAATGAATTCACTCCTAAACATTTGCAGAGTACATTCTGTATTTTAGTGAAGGAAAATGGGGCTTGGATTGATTCTTCTCTGAAGACTGAGAATTTCTGTGTGTTTATCTTCAGGTTTTGCCACATTTTATAAACGCTTTAGTTCTGTTTTCTTTTTCAAATAGGAAAACTCATGCTGTAAAAGAAAATTAAGAGATTTAATTTGAACAAAGAAACTACTTACGTGCAAATGTGAATATAAATTTAAGAGAAGAGGAAAACCAAAAAAAAAACCCTCTAGAGGTTATTACATCAATCTCAAACTTAATAAGCTGGAAGAGAATGCATTTTAGATTTTATATTAACCTTCTTCAGACTAAGTACCATTTTTCCTTGCAATTCAGTTTCCATCTCATTAATTTATTAATAATTAAACACTTGAAAAATAAAAGATCTATTATTTCTCAAGTTATGTCCACCTATAGATTTCTAATTAACCAGCCTCAGAGCACGGAGAAGCCATTCCTGCAGCAACTGCTGCTACAACCAGCAAATTTTAGTCACAGAAATAAAATGTCATTATTTTTCTGTGCCAGAACAGAGACCAGATGCCAACAGAGACTGTTCTGAGGACAAAGGCTGTGTGTGACGTGGAAGCCTGGTGTCCTGGTCCAGAGTATGGGTTGTATGTGTGTTTTGGCTGGTGGGGCAATGCATCCCATCCTATGTAGGCTGGAAAACATGACTGCATGGATAAGGAAGGATCTGTCTGTGCTCCCAGCTGTGTTAGTAGGGATGCTGTGGTGCACAGCTTGGTGAGAAATGGCATGAGTACATTGCCCTGGAGCTTTGTAGATAAACAGCAGAAAGAAACTTTATCCAAATAAATAATCCCGTCTGCAGGGATTTGAGAATCAAGTGCTCAAATTATAGTTGCTGACATGCCAGGTGCCTCCAACTCCAGGGATCTCAGTCTGCAGAAAATACCCCTAGAACCCTCTTTCCAGGTTGATCAATATGCTCCTTCAGAGTTATTTAAAATATATATACATGTATTTCCTGGTTACTAACTGAAGAGACAGCTGTGTATACAGAAGGAAACTGCAAGCACTCCTTGGAGCTCACGAGCTCTGCTTGCTAGTGTGGTGCTGAGGCTCCTCCTGGGGGGATCGCAGAGAAATACAAATGATGAAAGTACTGAAAAGATGTAGAAAGACTGGAGGAGGGATGCTGACTGATGAGGGATGAAAGTCTTAGCAGTGAATGATACAGTAAACTAGTATCTGTGCTCTCCTTGCTACAGAACACCAGAAGTTGTGTTTCTGAGCTCCCCCTCTGCATTTGTTGCTGGAAGTGGTGGCACCCATTCCAGCTGGAATCAGAAACCTGTGGGATTTTCCTTTAGGGAAACCCAGGCAGGTTAATGATGCTATTTAAGCTCTAGGAAAGCCCTGACATCCCAGGGTTCAGCTTTGACACCTTCCAGAAAGTTGTACAGCATCACTCTGCTGAGGCACCAGTGTGATTCCTGTTGCTTGTTCTGGGAATGCCATTCTACAATGAAGGATGTACTGTCTAGTCACCAGCTTTCCCCACTCATAGTTACCACACCTCCATAGTCCAAGGGAAGTCTTTCACAAGTATCGATGAGACCCATGCAATGAAACAAGACTGGCTTTTCTCCCCCCAAAAACTCCATATTGCACATGGCCTCTGCACAGAAGCACTGAATGGGAAGGGACCTCAAGGATCAGCTAATTCCAGTCCCACTGCTGAGGGCAGGATTGCCTATCACTAGATCAAGCACTAGGTCAGGCTGCCCAGTGCCCCATCCAGACTGGCCTTGAGAACCACTAGGGACAGAGCACATGCCCTGTACTGGATAGAGATGAATGAGTTTAAGTGGGGAGCAAAAATGTTATGTGCTGGAGGTGGGATAAAGTGAGAGTGTCGAATCTGACCCTTCCCTATCTTCTGTTGGAGAGGTTCAGATTCTGGAATAAAACCTGAAAGAAAAACCAACAAACCTAACAATGTATGAAATCTGTGGATGGATGGAGAGATAGGAGTCAAATGCAAAGAGGGACTTCAACATCCAGAATTGTGCTTAGCTGAAATGCAAACAGTGACATCCAAAGCTACCATGGTGATGACTTTCACTCTTAAGGGAGCTCTTTTCAAACCCCTGCCCCAAGAGGTGGTGCCACGCTGCTACCTCCTCTCTTTCCATAGCAGCTTCCAGATAGGTACCCAACCAGTGGGTGCCAATACTTTGATTCCCTCCTAGAAGAAATGACAGGGGAATGCCTCAGCCAGCTGGAATGGCTTACTGCAGAATCTGCTTTCCTTCCTTCCTTCCTTCCTTCCTTCCTTCCTTCCTTCCTTCCTTCCTTCCTTCCTTCCTTCCTAGCCCTAGCCCTTTCCCAGATATTTTTCTCTTTCTAAATTGCATAAAGTCCTGAGGAAAGATGTTGAAGTTTCCTTCAAAACAAAACCTACTGATTACACAGAAATACAGTATAAATTTACTTAACACACTGCTTTTCTTTTTCTATCATAGAGGGATTTTTTGTGAAATCTTTTAAAAGATTCATCATTTCAAAAAAAGTCAGAGAGTAACACATCATGGTTGGTTTTTTTTTGTTGTTGTTTGGTTTGTTGTTTGCTTTTTGGGAGAGCTCACATTTACAGAGTGGGAAAATCTTATCTGAAATTTTGCACACTTTTTAGATTTTATTTTCACACATCTTAGGATGCTCAGTTTCTCTGTATTTATGCTGTGGAATGGCCAGCTTAGCTCAGAATCAGAGGAAGTCAAGAGCCCAAGATGTGAATTTTAATTAGAAGGCAATCAAACCACCAGGTGGCTCCCTGATGTCTTAAATCTCCACTTGGGTGCAATAAATCGATTTTCCTTGATAACAGTGCTAAATTTAAACAACAGCTCAAAGCAAAAATGTGAAGTAATTTTGCATTGTTGTGAGAATAATTTGTACACTGGTGTGTTTTGTTTGTTTAATATAAAGCATTAATTGCTGAGTCATCAGTCAATTTTGCAGTGTGTCCCATGATCTCTTCTCAGCATGACTTTTCCTTAAAAATATTTTTAATGCTTACATGTATTTGTACCTGATGAAAGAAAACAAGCACAAAAAAAAAAAAAAAAATTCTTTGTGAATCTCAGTTTTGGTGCTGTGCCAATCCTGAGAGCAGTGGCTGTTTGGGTCTGAACCACTTGCTGTGTGTTTTATAGGTTCCCCTTGGACCTGCAGAGCACTGCGGGACAACTTTCTCCCATGTCCTGTCTACTGCCTGAGGACCATAGGGCCAAATTCAAAGCCCATTTGAAGTTAGGGGAGCCAATGCCTGTTTTCTGCATTCAGACCTCAC